CTCTTTCGCCAGAGGCTCGGGAATTTATCTTCCGGTGTCTGAAAGTGAAGCCCGAGGAGCGGCCAACTGCCACTGAGCTCCTAAACCACCCATTTGTCAGAAGGCCGTTACAACCAGCCTCCTCTGGCTCTGGCTCTGGCTCTGCCTCTCCACATCTTCGTGGTCGAGTCTAATTCCTTATGTCCAGGATTTCGGCTTTCCACTTCTTCAGGTAAACAGCCCTTTGGTTTATTCAAAACATAACGAAGTGTTTTCATCCGAGTTTTTTATTTTCTTATACATCTGATGATGCAATTTCTCCAATCTTCAGAACTGATATTTTTCAGGTATCTGCGAGACAGGGGAAGACCCGTTTTTTATAATCGGGTTTGGGATTAGGACCGATTCGAATCCAAAACGTTTGGCACAGTTCTAAACTGCATTCAGGTTCGAAGCCATAAGACAAGAGCGGAAACTAGTTCTGTTCTTAGATTTATTTGTGTTGTTGTACACATGTTTTTTGCAATGTTGTGTTTTGCGTTGTTAGCCAAAGGTTGGAACTTTAATATGGGGGGCAGAGAGAAGAGTCCATTTTCTTTCTTAGTGATTATTTTTCCTCTGTTAAAGAGGAGGGAGGAGGAAAAAAAAATTGAGTGAGATTGTTAGCTGGGTGTGTTTTATTTTTATTTTTTTAATTTTTGTATATGCTTTGTAATCTTGTAATCATCCTTGAATCATTGTTGAATGTATGTACTATATTATATTTATACACATAAACAGACAAAGCTATGTTTGATGAAAAACGATATGTAAACAAATTAACATATTTTACACGTTTTGAATGAACAATGCTTACACACATAGGAAGTATATAGAATGTTCGTATTTTTTTTTAAAAAAAAATCCTAAATTTGAATGAAACTTATGTTTCTCATTATTTTTCAAACATATGCAAATAAATTTTTAATTTTTTTTTAAATTTGTTACTCTTTTCTATCATCTTTTCATCTTTTTCCCCAGTCGTCATTCGGAATATTGAGTCCAAACATGCGAATAATTTAGATTTATTACAATGTATTCCCTGAAATAACAAGCATATTTTCCTGTGGAAAACAAATACAACAAGAACAAAAAACAATCCTATCTAAATCTAGAAAAGTCTTGAGTGTTGTCATAAAAATAACTGTTTTCTTTTTCTTTTTTTTTGGTATAAAAAATAACTTTTTCTTACCAGTACCATCCACGAAGATTGCCATAATTCCCTACAAAGTTCTAAAATTTAGGGTGATTATTTTATTTTCCATCAGATTTATCTATGAAAATTGAACCATTCTTGGAAAAAAAAATAGATAATTTGTTTATTCATATAGATATATAAAATCTCTTGATTTACAATTATTATGAAATTGGAAAAATAACTGTATTGAGACACCTTTACCAAAAAAAAAAAACTATTGAGAAAAAAAGAGGGTTTAGCTACAAAGGCAATTATTGGGCCTACATTGGGCCTAGAGGGAAACAAATGGGCTGGAGACTACCAAACGACGTCGAATGGGCGTGGGAAAGCGTTTTGAGGCTTATAAAACGGAGAATCGGCAGAGTCGGGCTTCGTATATCGTCGCCTCCGCTGGAACCGTCGTATAGGGCGTCTCCTCTTCCGTTATCCTCACCGGCGTTTTACTTAACCTTGTAACAAAACACCCTCACCTTCTCTGTTTGTTCCGATTCTCCAGGTATCCTTCTATGTGAACAATTTGACTCTCGCATCATGTCTATCATTTGCGCGGTTAGAGTCTTTCCCTCTTCTGGGGTTTCTTGGAGCGTTTCACGTGTTCGTCTTCTATCGATTGATTCATGTGACTGGGATTTTGGTTGCTTGAAATTCCTAAATATTTGAACTTTTTGTATTGGGCCTCCTTGTTTTCCGATTAATTTTCCAATCGAATACTTCATAGATGATAATATTGAAGAATTAAATTATCATCCCACTTCAATTGAGCAGTTTATTCTTTTCAAAATCTTGTGGGTTTCGGAAATTTAGCTGAGATAGAGAACTCGGATCGCTTTGTACGGCTGTTGTCCTTGGTTTGTCGCTCTCATAATCGACCTCGTATGTGCTTTGTAATTTACGATGCTCTTCAATTTTCAAATTCCTCGTTTTTTCACAGATCTTTTCTCATCAGAAAATTCGTCTTTGCTTTTCATATGTTTTGGAATTTCCATGGTTACGACTGTATGATCCAAGATTATTCTGTTGGAAGTTCCTGCGCAGGCAAATCCTGTAGTTTTTTGAGCCATCGTTGTCGGCGTGAACTTCGAAACATGTTGCAGTTTCCCGCCGATAAAGCTGCTGGCAAATCCCATATGATGGGTTGGGTTTGGGTAGGTTGGTGTTTAGGGCAAGGTAAGGATGCTTCACTAACATGAGAATCATTCTCAACCTTGTTCCTCTTCTGGGGTTTATTATATATGTTTTGAGTGTATCTCATATGTGCATGAAAACGGTCTCTTTGGCAATTTTCGGATGAGAAATTTTCTGGGTCTGTTTTGAATCATGGTAGACTTGTCATACCGATTAGATTCTGCTTCTAGTTGTAATATCATTAACAGCACTGGCATACTAAAAGCTTCCCAAATATAGTTCCAGGAGCATCATTTCATTTAGATAATGTTTAGTTCAGATTGTGAGATGAGAATTGATTCCTGAGGCTGAAAAACGGGAAACCCGGTTTAGATAGCTGTTGTGTTTTTATTCTGCTGTTTCTGTGTATACACCCGACCCTACGATTTTACTAATGCAAGAAACAAACATGTCAAGACCTAAAGTCTGCAACTTTTGTATGTGTGTTCTGGTTTTTAGCCGCTTTCATATAAGGTTGAAGTTTTCTGAATGCCTACATAGTAGTACTTATTTGTTTGAAAGATGTGTGCCAAAACCGGTTCGACTTATTATGGTTGTCTTTGATGCTATAGATTCAACCGGCAGATGGCAAAAGTTAGCACAGAAGGATGCCATTCTGGATCTCAGCACAACCAGGTGAATCCATACCAAATCAAGAAGGGTGGTGTTAGAAAAGGAAACCGAGCTAGGAAATACAGGAAAGCTTTAAAAGGAAGAGAATGGAAGGGGGTGACATGCCCAGTCTGCCTGGAAATTCCCCACAACGCAGTCTTGCTCCTCTGTTTGTCTTACCACAAAGGATGCCGACCGTACATGTGTGCGACCAGCAGCCGCTTCTCAAACTGTCTGGAGCAGTACAAGAAGGCATACACCAAAGAGGACAAGACCGAAACTGAGCCACAGCTGTTGTGCCCGCTTTGTCGTGGTCAGGTCAAAGGTTGGACCGTAGTGGAAGATGCTCGGAAATATCTGAATTCCAAGAAAAGGGCATGCATGCAGGATAACTGCACTTTCGTCGGTAGCTACAGAAAGCTCCGGAAGCATGTCAAGAACGTTCACCCGAGAGCTTGCCCTCGAGCTGTAGACCCCGTTTTGGAGGAGAAATGGAAGAAGCTTGAGTTCGAGAGGGAGAGAAGTGACGTGATTAGCACTATAATGACATCCACGCCCGGCGCCATGGTCTTGGGAGATTACGTGATCGAGCCCTACAACGATGTTTATGGTCACCATCATGACGATGAGGATGACGATGATGATCATGACTCGGATGATTCATTGGATGAAGGGTTCTTCGATTTGGGTTCGCTCAGACGGCGCAACGGCCTGCTGACAGCATGGGACATGGGCCGGATGGCTCCGTCGCGTTCGACTGCAGCCATCTCGAGCCGGGCACTTAGGCGAATGCTCCAGAAGCCGGCAACCGCAAGGTTCGGAAGCCACAGACGTAGACTGAAGAAGGCAAGTGGATTTGATGGGGGTGTTTTTAAGTGGTTTAGGGTTTGAAGGACCAAAAAAAAATCAGCAGATTGGATTTGTTGATGACATAAACAAAGAACTGGAAAAAAAAAACATTTCATATGCATCATCATTTGGTTTGGTCTTTTGTTTCCTCGAAAGTGGTAGCTTAGGGTTTTTTCTTTCCCAGATATAAATTATTTGTATAACAGATGAAATATCTTATTTGATTAAAAAGGATAAAGTATTTAGGCCGTATTTTTGTACGTTGTTTTGGACCTTACAGATTTTAGGCCCATTTAGTGATTCTATTTGGGCTTGAGCCCATAATATGTTATGTTTATTTGGGCTTGAGCCCATAAAATGTCCAACGTTGTTGTTCTTGCTCTTTTTGTCTTTAATTTATTAGTTCATCTGATTCGAGCCCTTATGTATGCCATTTCCGTTAGGTGTTGTCGCCTTGCGGTATCCAAATTGAACAACATATATTCATATCTGAAAAAAATTTAAATTAAATTAATCAAATTTTAAAATAATAAGAATTTTTATATAAAATGAGTTATATATATATATATATAGGAAAATCGAAATATAAAATTTTAAACAGCAATAAAAAAAAATACAGAAAAAAAAAGAACCGAATTGAAATCATCCGAAATAATCACTTTCTACGGGTGATTTTATTTGAATTCAATAAACATTTTGAATCACTGTAGACATTTTTAAAAAACTGTACAGTGAGGATATTGTATTGTGGGTTTTATTTCTTGTCTGAATTTGTGGGTGTCCAAATTTATATGGACATTTATTTTTTGGTTTAACAAATTGTAGTTGCAAAGCGGCTGAAATGGGGGAAAAAAATGTTATCTAAAATCGTAACATTAAGGTAATGTGAAATACAATGCGCATTTAGATTATTAGTTTTAACTAATAGTCCACAAAGACATGTCGGTCATTTGCCACTACAACTTTCATTGCATTCTCCACTTGGACCGACTGCTCAAATATCTTATTAAACTCTTTTTTTTATAAAACAAAATTACATATCCCTAAGTATCAAAGGTTACATCTATAGCTTTTATCTGGACCGGTTACATTCATATATATATATACACATACACGCGCGCGCATGGGCATACGATGGTTCCAGGAATCTCTTGTCCACTATCATTGTGACACTGCCTTTTCTTTTCTTTTTTGAAAAATTTCACTTTTTTAGTTGGTATTAGTTTATTATTACAAAATGTTTATAATATTTTTTTTCTTTGATTTTCAACATCTGCCTTTTGACCCATTGGATTTGAGAGAGACATATTGCTGTTGGATTTGTAAATCTGCCTGCTCACACATGGATTTGTGTTATCTTCCTCTTTAATATACATATATATATATATATATATATATCTCAATAATTCCAAATTATGTATATATATATATATGCCCACATAAAATAACAAAAGTTAACTTATTTCAAGATTTCTAAGCATCCTTCTTCTTTCGTTAAACCCAATCCACGTGCGATCGATTCAAATAAGTTTGTAGCAAATTATTCACGAGATATGGACCAAATATTTAAAAATTTTGAATTTTTGGAGTGTGAAAAGATGAGATATTCAGATAATTTGAATAAAACAAGGTATGGATGTTATACATCTTGTGGGCGTGGTGTTGATCATATCTTTATTGTGGACTGTATTATTCTGCCTATCGAATTTACATGCAAGCAGCCATCCAAAAGAGTATTTGTTTTCATTGGCTGAGGCCTAATGACTTCCCCGAATCCCTGTATGCCACATGATCCGTTGAAGCGAGTTTCGGATTTTCTTTCCTTTTTTTTTTTCTTATCTTATTTGTAAGAGAAAATTTAAAAAATAAATAAATGGAGAAATAAATTTAGAATATTAATATATATTTTTTTCCTATGCAAAAATGACCCTTCCGTGGCCAAGCTAACAACAATCACAACTCAATAAGAGGGGTATACTCGTGGTCTATTTATGTGGTTTTTGCCATCCCATTGTTTATTATATATATATATATATATGTATGTATATCAATAGTTACTTTAGAAATAAATCAAGGTAAATGGAAAAATATCACATAATATTCTATTAATAATATGACTGATGAAGAATATGCAAACAAAGTCCAACAAATTTGATAGATCGCTATTCTAATTCAAATATATTTTGGCTTCTGATTTAAATAATATTCAGACTTCGGCATGATCTTGTTAATCAAAGGTCCTCCTTAATCTGTGGACCTTTTGTTTAATTGCAGTCTCACCCATTAGCATATAGTTTTTCTTTTCTTTTTTTTGAATTGTTTTCCTATTATATGTTCCCTTGTAATATTTTGGAATTTTCTATAATAATAATAATAAAAAAGACAAAAGAAATTAGAAAATGGCTCAAAGGAATAACAAAAGGTCACATTGTCTCCAAACCCTAAATTTGTGCACCCCTTCTCTTTGTTATTAGCCACCCTCAATTCAACCAACCTCTCCTCTTTTGTTTTTCTTGACCCTTTGAAACTCTTCCAACAAAAAAAAAAAAGAGATTCTTTTCTTTTTTGTATAATATTTTTACCAATAATTTAAATATTTCCATAACCCATATCACAAAAATCTCCGCATTGATAGGGAGAAAATAATTCAAACAGATGATTCATCAAAATCTCATTTTTTTTATATGGAAATCGACTTTTTTTGTATATTAATCACGGTCTTATCCTTTTAATGGAATATTTTATTAACTGTCTGTTACCCTTACATGTTGGGAAAACACGTGGAATTTTACGGTCGACGGACTATTTTGTATTTATAAAAATATATATAAATTTTTACAGATAGATTTACATATGCTTATGTTGTTTTTATACCGAAACACATGGTTGCTAAACATGTTGCAATTTGCAAAAATATCATTTCTGCATGATAATTTGTGAATAGCTTTGGTATTGACAATTTTCAATTGACAAAATGATGAGTGACTGAAATAAATCGCAAATTCCAAGCTCCGACCTCTTTCACATTGTTATCTGTTTAAGACACGTGAATATATACATATATATATATATACGCGCATAATTATGTGTAATAACTAATAAATATGAAATTTGAATAAATGGAAAATTTTTATATAAAAAAATCATGAAAGGCGTGAGGTAAATTTCAAGTTGCAGAGCCCCATGTTTGTTTGCGTTGTTCATTGACCATTGGAGACTCCATGCGCCACTTCTCACCAATTTTGCCCCATTTTGATTATTTTGACTTTTAATTTTTTTTTGTTTAACTTTCACCCTCAATTAGTTGTCGATTTATTTATTTATTTTCTCGTTTTCCCACACTTGAATACATTTTCCTTATTGCAATTTAATTCGGAGAATCTTGCGATTATTTTATCTCATACCATTAACACAACATTAAATTATGCTTAATGGACATATAATCATGTGTTATACTTTTGTCGCCACATGCATTGGATCTAAAATACCTTGGTTACTTTATTTATTCCCGCATAAACTAATTCATCGCCCTACGTTCTTTTCAATAAAATATTACTAATTAATTCATTTTAATCAGATTCATTTGCTTTTTTTTACTTGTATAATGCCACAAGCGTGGACATTTTATTAATTAATTTTTAGTTTTACTCGTAGCTTTTTATTTTCCCTTAATTTAGTAATGGTCGAGCACTAACTCTATCCAAGTAGTAATTTGTTTATAAAATAGTTTTAAAGAAATAATACTTTCTGATATATATCGAGAGATGTATTCGATCCCGAAATACTCTCCATTTTTTCAATGTATTTCATTCCAATTTTTTAAAATAAAATTTTTAGACATTTAAAACGATCGTCAACGTCTAATCCTATTAATTGCGAGATATTTATAAATTTCATAATCGCAATTCTTGTACATGCAGCTCTATATAGTACCAAAGGGCATCATTTGGACAATGGTTTGTATGCATTATAATTATGGCACGACAGTGTACGTGTCTTCTTGCACTTCCTCAACGTAAGTTCCCTTCCTCGGTAGGCTGTCACGTTGCATGGCCTCTCTCATATATGCATTATTTCATTTCCGTCATATATTATATAGTTTCTATATCATATATTATGTTATCTCTAAATGTTTCGCTCGATATATACAATGTCGACGACTTGTATGTACTATTGAATAGCCCGTACGATATTGTGACCTTTCGCGATTGCGAACATTGTCTGCCCTATCTACACGCATTTAGCTCCTCTCTATGTTTTCTTCCTTTCGATTTCTTTTTATTATTTTTAGAAAACTAACCATTTCAAAATCATAATTTACATGTTTTTCAGAAACTGTTTTCTGAATTAATATTATTAATTTGGTTCATTTAGCGGGATTAACATAAAGCAGAAAACACATACTCGTTTTTTGGAAAATATTTTTTTTTTTTTGTATTATTGTTGTTTTGTTTATCATCATTACCTATTGTTCTACTTTTCATTCAGCCGTTATATTATCACATTCTTTTATCGTCATCAATAATATATATATATATATATATATATATATATATATATATGACATCAACACTCTAATTGATTACTGCTATTTCTTACTCGCATTACATGTAAATATTGCTACGTGTTTCTATTTCGGTTACTGTTTATTGACATTTTTTTTATCAACCGGAAAGTTCATCTGGATTGCGAACATTGTCTGCCCTATCTACACGCATTTAGCTCCTCTCTATGTTTTCTTCCTTTCGATTTCTTTTTATTGTTTTTAGAAAACTAACCATTTCAAAATCATAATTTACATGTTTTTCAGAAACTGTTTTCTGAATTAATATTATTAATTTGGTTCATTTAGCGGGATTAACATAAAGCAGAAAACACATACTCGTTTTTTGGAAAATATTTTTTTTTTGTATTATTGTTGTTTTGTTTATCATCATTACCTATTGTTCTACTTTTCATTCAGCCGTTATATTATCACATTCTTTTATCGTCATCAATAATATATATATATATATATATATACATATATGACATCAACACTCTAATTGATTACTGCTATTTCTTACTCGCATTACATGTAAATATTGCTACGTGTTTCTATTTCGGTTACTGTTTATTGACATTTTTTTTTATCAACCGGAAAGTTCATCTGGGCCTTCGACCCAACCTACATCTCCCCAGATCCAGAAATAGTCTTTGAACACGCAGCCTTCGCTACGCTTCTCCCTCCCCGCATGCTTAGAATCGAATCCCTGATCTGGAGGAGACACAGTCTCACTTCCAACCCTAAAGACACCACTCGACCAGAGACATGTGGATAACTATTTATTGACATTAGTTACACATTTTAATAGTGAAACTTTGAATCCCTAAACTCTAATATAGTTATGTAATTCAACAAAAAAAAAAATAATGACCCGAAATTTAGCATGTCAAACGTACCCTAATGGGAAACATATATAATCTCAGGATTACTCAATGTCTTAATTATACGTATAATAAAGATATAAAAAGAATTATTGTCGCTTTTTGCGTTACGTGATTTATTTCAAGAAATTTAAATTGACAAAAAGTCGCAATTAGAGAAAGATTTCGACGATCTCTGTATGACGTTAGTGAAAACAATAGCAATCCAAAGAATTTATATAAGTTGATAGTTACATTACTTGCGGCGCCTTAGTCATTGGATTTTGCAAAATATATCGCAAAGTTGTACCAACTTGAATCATAATCTATATATATACATATAAATTAATACTATCCACATGATTAATTTGTAATCATTGTTAATTATGAAAATGGTAAGACACATTGAAGCAAAATCTAAGCAAAATAAGTGTTTTTTTGTTGTACAAGTTGGTACGACAGTATAGTTAATTAATATGACTTTTCCACGAACCCGGTTATCAGACCAAGAAATGCAATGGTATAGTCCTGAGTTACTGTTGGTTAACAGAGTTATCCGTGCTGTTATTTTATTTCCCATTAATTAGTGTGTATCTAGATTCCTTAAAGAAAATTAATTTATAAATCGTAGAGCTCAATGTTTTTACATAACGTAGGCCATTATTAATGTTATAATATATAATGTACCGTAAAATATTTGATATTGGTAATTTGGTACAGATGTATATATGACCATTTGAAGGTAATAGCTAAAATTAACTTTTGAATTTAATAAATTTTAAAAATAATTCAAGATGAATTGCCGTGACTATATTATTTGTGCTTTGTAAATAGAGATTTTTTACACAATTTATACTATTGTTCCATTTATTATTATTATTATTATTAAACAAATGGCTTTACTTATGATTATATTTTTGTAGAACTTTTACAAATATAATGCGTCTCAATTTTGATACCAGGTCGATCCCAAATTAGAATCGAAATTCCATTTCCACAATAAAGCAAAGTCAAATACATTCATTTGTAACAAAACACACAAATGAATCAACGTGAATACTTTTTTGAACACGTTTTCAAAGAGAAAGCATTCCAATCGACACCAAGAAAAAGGTCGATATATATGATATAATATAAGTTGTAATAATATTGAACGGTTCCATTTCCCTGTGATAAATTAAATAAACTGTACCGCAGATATGATACATAAAACAAGATCCAATCGCAATATATCCTAAGCATATATATATATATATATATATATATATATAAAGATAAAGAAGTGTCGAAATAATGATAGAAATTAAAATAAATACACATGAACATATATCATACATGCTGTGTACCTTTTGATGTCTAATGATAACCGTAAATAATGAAATTTTATGAAAAACTCGGCGTTTTTCGAATTTTTAAAAAAAAAATGGAGAGCGATATATAACAAAAACATATTTTATTAATATATATATAGAGATGGATAGGGACGTGATGTACATAGAGAGAGGTGTGGGTGTGTGTGTGTGGTTCAAACCATTGAAGGCCCACCGTAACGGCTGGAGGCCCTGGCTCCATCTCTGTTGTCTTCTTGTTCTCGAACCCATAGAATACGAATACAATTTTTATATAAATAAACGCATTAAAAAAAGTATGGAAAGAAACAGTTTTTGTTTTTGTAAAAAAAAAAAACGTCTTTCCTTTTCTCATAATAAAGCATATGGAAAGAAAACCTCAAAAACTTTGAATATAAATTTTTATAAAGCTAAATTGTTCAATTTTTGACATCTTAATACAACAAAATAATATAAATAGTATTATAGATTTAATTTGAAAAGAAAATCCTATAATTATGTTATTTTACAAATGGTTTTTAATTAAAAATAAGATGTCAAAAAATAAAGATTTTACAATTATTTATTTCAAAATTATAGAAATATACAAAAATTCTGTGAAACTTCAATTAGGTGATATTTGACACGTCAATTATCTTTTTATAATCATAAAATAATAAAAAAATGACAATATATAATTTTATTAAATTTTAAAATATTTTTATTTTACAAAGATACTTTATAACTTTTTGAATTTTTGACACCATATTATTTTATAAATAATTTATTTATTTATTAGAATATTATATGAAAATCTAAAAGTTTGTAATATTAATTTATAACCTAGGGATATAGAAAAAAAAATAAATGGTAACGTTATATATTAATTTCCTATTTTGAGGTAAAAGTAAAAAATATATATGATATTTTAAATAATAAATGACAAATATAACATAGATTGCTAAAAGGACAATATGATGTTAGAGAAATTTTGAAGTAAACTAAATTTTTATAAATAGATATTATAATTATTTATTTATATATTATTGAAAAATCTATTTTTTTTTATGAAATTAGGTTATTTTATAGTCATTCATTACTTTAATTCATAATTAAAAAAATAAATATATTGTTATATAAATCATTAATTGAATTTCATCAAATTGAAAAAAGTACGACAATAGTATAACAATTTGACAGAAATGACTATGTATCTGCACAGATAGCAAATTGATCGAATTTAGGAAACTGGAAATTTTAGACAATATAACAATATGGAATTTGTTTTCTAGAAATATAAAATGTATAGGTAATTAACTATCAACAAAAGAAAAAATATACAAAAATAACAATATATTTTTCAAATAAAAGAAAATAGAGATTCCATATTCCAATATTGAATGATCATCTTTGGAAGGAAAATATATAGAATAATTTGTTTCCAAATAATAGAAAAACAAAGATTCCATGTTTAAATGGTAATCCCTGGATTCAAATGTTCCTTATGATTACAAAATACTGTGAACAAAGAAATAACTTTTATCCTATTGAAAAGTGCATATTCATGTTTTTATATTTAATTATATAATTTTGTAGTCGGTCCCATCGCCCATGGACCCCACACGTGGGAGTTTGGCACGAGGCTTCCCAGCACCGGCTATATAACTTCATCACCTCCACCGCTCCTTTTTCGCGCTCAGGTCTCATCTCCCAAAGAGAGAGATTAAGAGGCAACCCTCATTTCCTCTCTTATTTACGGTAATAACCCTCCACAAACTGCTCTAATGGCGGCCTCCGTCGATAACCGCCAATTCCCTCGCCATGAACCCTCCATTAACGGCGTCGTTCGCTCATACAAACCGCCCGCTCCTCCCCGGTCTGATTCTCTTAACCGAACCGGGTTCTCACCCGCCTTGAAACCGGTTCCGGCCGCCGTACCGGACGACGATGTCTCGAGTGACGATGAGAACGAGACCCACAACAAGAACGCCGCCGAATATTACATGGAGATGATACAGAAGTCTAACAGCGAACTGGAGCCGTCGATCTTGGATCATAGGGACGAATCAACGGCTGACAACTGGATCGAGCGTAACCCTTCGATGGTCCGCCTCACAGGAAAACACCCCTTCAACTCGGAGGCTCCATTGAACCGACTCATGCACCATGGCTTCATCACCCCCGTTCCGCTGCACTACGTCCGCAACCACGGCTCGGTTCCTAACTCCCAATGGTCCGATTGGACTGTTGAGATCACGGGTCTTGTGAAACGACCCATGAAACTCACCATGGACCAGCTCATCTCCGAGTTCCCCTCTCGTGAGTTCCCTGTAACCCTAGTTTGCGCCGGAAACCGCCGCAAGGAACAGAACATGGTGAAGAAGTCAAAGGGCTTCAACTGGGGAGCCGCCGGAGTTTCGACCTCTGTCTGGCGGGGTGTCCCTCTCTCAGACGTCCTCCGCCGATGCGGGATCGCCGCAAAAAGGGCTGGAGGCTTGAACGTGTGCTTCGAAGGAGCGGAGGATCTTCCCGGAGCCGCCGGAAGTGGAGGATCCAAGTACGGGACGAGCATCAAGAAGGAATTCGCCATGGATTCTTCGAGAGACATCATATTGGCGTACATGCAGAACGGTCAGCTCCTGACACCGGATCATGGGTACCCGGTTCGGGTGATAATACCGGGTTTCATCGGAGGGAGGATGGTGAAGTGGTTGAAACGGATCATCGTCACAACCCAGGAATCCGACAATTACTATCATTACAAGGACAACCGGGTTTTGCCCTCCCACGTCGACGCCGAACTCGCCGACGCTGAAGGTACAGTTTTGCGTTTTTGTCGCTGACGGAAAAAGGGAACAAAACCCAATATGAGATAACGATCGGAAAAAGGCTTTAGAGATATGCCTGATCTGATGGGTGACGTTAGCATATATTATATGTTGTAAACTAAGATTTAATTATTATGAATGGCAGCTTGGTGGTACAAACCAGAGTATATCATCAACGAGCTGAACATAAACTCGGTCATTACGACGCCGTGTCATGAAGAGATTCTCCCCATCAACGCTTTCACCAGCCAAAGGCCCTACACCTTGAAGGGCTACGCATATTCCGGTATTTCTTTTATTCCATACAAAAATATATGTCTCCTTATGTGCATTTTACCACTAATTTACCCCAAATGGAAATAAAAACAAAATGATTTATTTTTTGTCTTTCTAAACATAGGGGGTGGGAAGAAGGTGACACGTGTCGAGGTGACAATGGACGGTGGTGAGACGTGGCAAGTGTGCGCGCTGGACCATCCGGAGAGACCAAGCAAGTACGGAAAATACTGGTGCTGGTGCTTCTGGTCTCTCGAGGTCGAGGTCTTGGACCTGCTTGGTGCCAAGGAGATCGCTGTCCGCGCCTGGGATGAGACCCTCAATACTCAGCCGGAGAAGATGATCTGGAATCTCATGGTACGCGTTTCCAAACACCCCCCCCCCCCCCC